CTGTTTCCTGTTGCTTGTTTTGTTTCCAGAAATGTTGATAATGTAAACATGGTTTTGAGAAGCAATGTTATTGATTTTGAAATTGGTTAGTATAATTACAATATATTTTTCACATTGTTTCTGATTAATGTTATATGGCTGAACTGCTTCCAGGTGATTAAGTTTCGGCAGCCGAAGTCGTCGGAGAGCTACGGAGTTGAATAACTTTCTTCCATGTAGCCAGCTGAAACAATTCCAGGAGGAGTCCTGTGTTGTAATGCAGCCGAGTGTCGTTGGAGATGTTCCGTTCAAATCCCAACCGCAAAGATAATTCTTACACTCCTAACATTCATGGTATTTCTCCTCACAATGAGAAAACGTGTGTGTATATATATATATATATGTCAGTTGATATTTCAATATATAATATTCAAAATCAATACTTTGTTTTTATAATTTATACAAAATTATTTAAATAAAAGTTAAAAAATCAATGTTATACTAAAATGACTTGAATACTATATATAATTAAGAGTCAATTACATCATATGTCCTCAAACTATAACTATTGTTTTAAATTGATCCCTAAACTTTTTAATGTTTCAATTTCATCCCTAAACTATAACTATCATTCTAAATTAATCCTCAAACTTTTGAACGTTTTAATTTCATCTTCAAACTATGACCCTCTTTTTAAATTGATCCCCAAAATTTTTTAGCATTCAAATTTCATTCTAAATTATATGTATATACAAACCACATTCCTTGTTAATAAAATCGTTAGTTCAAGTTATATTATTATATGTTTGAAGAATAAAAAAAAAATTTGGTTAAATTATGGTTGAAACTAGTTACATATTTGGATGAATTTGAGGATGAAATTAGAATATTTAAAAGTTTAGGGGCTAATTTAGAAAGAGGATCATAGTTTAGGGATGAAAATAAAATGTTTAAAAGTTTAAGGATTAATTTAGAATGAGAGTCATAGCTTGAGGATTAAATTGAAACATCTAGAAGTTTATAGATCAATTTAAAATGAGTCTTAGTTTAAAGATAAATGATGCAGTTAACTCAATAATTAACAAAACATTAAAATAAAGTGCATATAAGATAAAATAAATAAATATTTTGTCATATAATGGAGTCGGATAACATGTATATATGTATTTCAAAAATTAGCACCACAATACAATCATAACTAAGCAAGAATAGATTTAAATAATATTCACTCATGATATTTAAATATGATAAAAAAATAAAAAAAATTATTAAAATATAATATTATTTACATAAATATTTTTGGATAAAGTACATAAATGGTATTTCGACTATACGGTGATGTTTTGTTGAGTCTCTACCATTAAAAGTTAGAAAATGATCCTCAGACTATATAATATTGCTTTGTTGAGTCTTTTATAACCCTTAATAGTCGATGGATTCAACAAAATAATGTCCTACAATTAACATGTTAACGTCACTATCATAAACTTTTAATAGTCCATCCCATTCAAAAGTTATACAATATTAACTTATACGTGTTCACCTTCGAAAATATTTCGATAATCTTTAAGGCGCGTGAAATAAAGTTTGGGGTTAGGAAAATCTTTTGCATTTAGATAATGACTTCCCGTAACTCTCAAACATTCATAAACAGTTGATATTTTCCCATTTACCAAAGCCTTAAAAACCATGCAAATCGTGCTTACTACACGAACAACAATAATAAATTATAATCAAAGCAAGATATGAAGCAAAAACGAAGTGGTAAAATCACATTATCATCCATTATTTAAGCTGTTTTAATCGTAACCTCCCCCAGCCCTTGCCTCACGTAAAATTGCACTGTCCAATGACTATGGGGTGCTAATTGTAGCCCATTCCACAGACCAATCTTCTTCACTTCCCCAACTTCCATGGCCGCACTCCAACGCTACACATCCGTTGATCCCGCCACGTGGCTGCCTTCGTTCTTCTCTTTTGTGGGTCTCGTTTGAAAATGGCTGAAACCTGAGCATGATTCGACCGTCTCTGGGAAAAGCCATGGATCAACCGGTGGCTTTACTTTTAGTTTCGTTTTCTCTCTTGTTTCTTGACCAACCGGCCATGTCTTTGCTACCAAACCAGTGCGATGACAAATGCGGGAGTCTTCACATCCCGTTTCCATTTCATTTAAACGCTTCTTGTCCTTCAATTTCCACAGCTTTCCGCCTTTCGTGCTTGAATTCCACTACCCTTTACCTCCATATCGGAACTGAGACCTATCGAGTTCTCGATTTCTTCTCCGACGGTGTACTTGTCGACTTCCCCGGAACCACCGGTTGCCGTCAGTTCAACGACTTGAACGCCTTCGGTTTTACGAAAAACGACTACTTTGGTATCTCCAGCGACAACGTCATAGGTCTATATGATTGTGAAGACTCTTCCTTGTGTAAAGCAGGTTGTGAAACGAACGACTTGCCCGGTTGTGATGGCAACTACGGTGGATCTCTTGCATGCTGTTATCCACTGTCCGATCATAGCATTTGGCATTCCGGTGATGGGTTCTCGAGTTTTTCCAAGTTCGGGTGCCGAGGATTTTCATCATGGCTAGTTCCCCGGGGATCCAACACCGGAAAACGTGGGGTTAAGTTGGAGTGGGCAGTTCCTAGAAACTCATCCGATAGAGTATGTTCTAGTGATGCTGATATGGTGAATGCCACCGTAGTTGAAGCAGCGGTCAGGTGCTTGTGCAAGGATGGATTCGCCGGTGATGGGTTTGCAAATGGAGCTGGATGCTTCAAGTGTGAGTTGTTTAATCTTTTACTTTTAGAGTAATCAAATTAGGTTGATTTGGAGCTAAATGAGAGTGCATTTGCCATGTTTTTGTATTCGCCATTGACAGCCTGCCTCAAGGAGGGGCAAGAAGCATATGGGGAGGAGTGTAACAGTCCAAAGCACAGTCAAAGGAAACTTGTAATTTTGGCTGGTATGTATGTTATTATGATTTATGAGATTGATCGTTTTGTTAAACATCATCCTTATCTAGCTTACTACATTTGCTTGTAGGTGTTCTTGCTCCGGTTTTCATCCTTGCTTCCTTATTCTTATTCCTCTGCATACTCAGACGACCTGTTAAACCTGGTGCTTTTCACCTAGAACAAACTCATTATCATGGTACCACTTCATTTCGGAAAGCTTGTAGGACTAGATTGTTTACTTACAGAGAGCTAGACGAAGCAACCAGAGCATTCGTAGACGGTCAGAAGCTTGTAAACGGAGCAAACGGTACAATTCATGCTGGGGTCCTTGGGGATGGTTCACATATAGCTGTGCAGAAGGTGCAGTGTGAGACTGAAAGAGACCTAATCGATGTCCTATCAAGAATCGAGCTTCTATCATCTGTTTTGAATAGGAATTTAGCTCGGCTCATCGGATGTTGCATCGAGTCTGGTTACACCATATTGGTGGTGTATGAATATCCGGCGAATGGCACCTTGGAGGAACATCTGCAAAATAGCAGAGGACAGAAATTTGGTCTGGACTGGTACAAGAGGCTGAGCATAGCTACTGGAACTGCAGGCATCCTAGCTTACTTGCAGTATGAGATTTCTCCACCTATCTTTCACCATGGCCTCAAATCATCAGGCTACATATTTCTTGATGTGGATTTCTCGGTTAAGGTTGCCGGCTTTGCCCTGCTTAGCTCCGGGTCCAGAGACGGTTCAAATTTACACAACCACCACGGAACGCCCCACAAAAACGATGTCTATGACTTCGGTCTGTTGTTGTTGGAGATAATTTCAGGCATCAACTATTCGGACATGCCAAGGATAGCCATGGAAAAGATCAAAAGTGGGAAGCTAGAAGAAATAGTGGATCCGTCTCTTTACTACCACGAGCAGCCGATGGCTCGTAGAGAACAAATAGAAATAGTAGCAGACGTAGCAACCAGATGCTTATTGTTCGGTGGAGATGGCAAAATCGGAATGATTGATGTCGCGAGGGAGCTGATTCACCTAGCGAAAGAAAACAATGGAGGAAGCAAAAGGGGACCTGCATTGGAAGAAACATTCTCGAATTCGAGCCTGCTTCAGATGATATCCATGTCCCCTGACTCTATACACCTGCCTTGAAACCACATCTGTTCATAAAAGAAACCATCCCACTCTAAGGATTTTCAAATTAGTCCATTTCAGCTGCAAGTATTCCAAGTTGCCTGCATTCACATCTGATTGCATATGTATACAGATTATATGTACATCTAGTGGATTCAGAACTTATTTTTGATGAAATCACAAAACTTGCTGGTTCTCCATGATCTATAATGAACATGATTATGCTTGTCTTTTCAAAACCATCAAATTTTTAGGAGTAATTAGCAGAAAAATTGTAGGCAAATTTTTAGCAGAAAATTAGCTATATTTACCAGTAAAAGCCTAGCCAGAAAAGATGAAGCATTGGGCCAAAGCCTTAAATTAAATCCCTTTTTTCCTCAACGACAGACACGATGCAACTGCGTGTCTTAAAGCATTGACCAACCTGTTTTGTCTCCTGTTCTATCTTTCCATATGCTATAAATATTTACCTGTACATCAACTTTTTCTTCAGGATCAACACATCGTTTCCAAATTCTGTTCATTGCTTTCCTTTTTTGTGTGTTTCTGCAATTCTCTTATCCCACAACCAAGGTACGTACAGTTCTCTTATACCACAAGGTCCACAACCGTGCATGTCATCTTCGCATTCGAATCGCCATGTTAATATCATCAACTATCACGTCAGCACGATAACAACCATGTCGGTATTATAATGGTTAAAAACAACTATCATCGATCGAAGAATAATATTGATGTAATTTGACAGTTTGAGGTCCAAAAGCTATAATACTATGTCATCCTTATATTTATGTTGAGAAATAGACTACACAAGAATTACATGTGTAAGAAAGTTGGTTTACCTTTTTGGTTGATTTATCCATGAAAACTGATGAGTTTGTTTGATTGTTGATGCAATTTATTGGTCCTGTGGGGGGGGGGGGGAAGATGAACGACGCAGATGGAACTCTGCGACAAGCTCCCAAACTGAATAGACTACACAAGAATTACATGTGTAAGAAAGTTGGTTTACCTTTTTGGTTGATTTATCCATGAAAACTGATGAGTTTGTTTGATTGTTGATGCAATTTATCCAAAAGTTGTCAACTGTGTATGTCTTGTTTCTAACTTTAAAAGGCTAAAATATCATTAATCCAGTCCCAGACAAGCAAATATTGTTATTGATGTTTGATTTGATTGTTTAAATCTCTTGTTCAACCGGACAGGTTGTTGAGATTGCAAAAGGTAGTAAGGTCAAATATGAACTTGACAAGAAGACCGGAATGATTAAGGTATGAAAAGATCTACATCCTTTGCAGACAAAAGTTCTTAACCCCTAAACCGTAAACTCTAACCCGAAATGAATTTCAGGTTGATCGGGTTCTATATTCTTCGGTTGTATATCCACACAACTACGGTTTCATACCTCGCACGCTCTGTGAAGACAATGATCCCATGGAATGTTTAGTTATAATGCAGGTAAGCCCTTGGTCCTGAAACTTTGTTGTTACATCTTGAGCTGCATGCAACAATCATCTAAAGTACTGAAATCGTGTTGTTTCTTTCCTATCAAAAAAAATGTTGTTTCTTTCGATAGGAACCGGTTCTTCCGGGATGTTTCGTTCAAGCCAGAGCCCTGGGACTAATGCCGATGATTGACCAGGTATTATCTGCTTGAATGTTTAATGTTAACCATTCGACACTCACTGCTTCATTACTGTCACACGGGAAGAAAGACGATAAGATCATTGCAGTTTGTGCTGATGATCCTGAGTACAAACATTACACTGACATCAAAGATCTTCCCCCTCATCGCCTCACCGAGATCAAATGTTTCTTCGAAGACTGTATCCTTTTCGATCTCGAATCATAATCTCATCACTTCCCATCTGTTAATCGAAAACGATCCGCCTTCGTTCCATGTTTCGTTAACTCTACGCAGACAAGAAAAACGAGAACAAAGAGGTCGCGGTGAACGACATCTTACCTCCGAGCACTGCATATGAAGCGATCCAGCCTTCGATGTAAGTCCTTCCATAAAAGGAACCAATGGTTTATCCCAGAAGGGGATTCACCTGCCTAATGCTATATGCATGGTGTTATGGTGCAGGGACCTATATGCATACTAAATAAAACATCTTTTTACCAATAAGAACAAGACTGGATTTAAACTCTTGTAAGAAAAAGAAATTATAAATTTGAATGTTTTTGCAATCTTTTTGAGAGATTTGTTCAATAACAATGTGTTCCAACTTCCAAGTTCATCAAACCTGCAACGCATGGGCCATGCATCCCAAAATTGGCTCTGCTACTTTGTTTAAAGGGTCTAGTGCATCATCTTTGGTTGTTGGTGACCCATCAATAATGTATGTATGATAAAAGAAAAGGGTAAATTATTTGTTTAGTATCTAAATTATCAGTTTTGATCCGTTTTAGTATTTTTATTTTTTATTTTTTCAAAATCATACCTAAAGTTTAGTTTTTCTTTCATTTTAGTATCCTAATTAAAATTTAATGTTAATTTTTTATTAAAAAAATTAAAAATTTAGATACTAAAATTGATCGAAACTAATAATTTAAGTATTAAACGGATCAAAATTGAAAGTTAAATATCTGACAGCCTTTACAAAAATTTGTGCACCTGATAAATACAAATGTCATGGAGTTCATGCGTGGACCGCTTTCAAAAATCGTTTGTCACATTCAAATTTCAATCAAAATCTAAGTCCCTATATTGAGTTAGGCATGTTATCTAGTCTTATCATCTAGAGAAATCAAATTTCCTTAAAATTCCAATTCAATGATTGAGGTACCTCATAGCACATGCTATTTAAAAAGAAGAGGTGTAATTATGATTTCGTCCCTCTACTATGTTTGAACTTAAGATCTAATTCCATCTTTTAATCTAACATGATTTTGTCTAGTCTAGTCTAAATAGTTAAAATCATTAATTACTTGACCAAAAGTAAAAGAAAATAGGGTAAATTACACATTAATTAGTATTTAAAATATCAGTTTTGATCTGTTTTAAACTTAAACTTTCTATTTTTTCAAAATTATATATAAGGTTTAGTTTTTATTTTTTTTAGTACCATATTCAAAATTTAACGTTAAATTTTGAGAGAGAGAAAATCGAAAGTTTCGGTAATAAAACGAACCAAAATTGATAGTTTAAGTACTAAACAAGTTCAGTTTTTAAGTGTGTATACTAAAATAAAATAATAACTAAACATTAGGTACACTTTTAAAAATAAAATAAAAATATAGATAATTAAACGGATCAAAACTAATAATTTAGATACGAAATACGTAGTTTACCCAAGAAAATAAAACCGGTAGATGGAAATTTCTCTCATTTTAGCGGAGAGAATTTATAATCCAAGTAATTACAAGTAGGATTCGTAATTAATACTAAATTGTTAAATTAATAATTAAAATGCACGAATCAAATTATTTCCGTAGTTAAGGGAATTATTGTTATTTCTAGAGGTCTCGGATTCCAATACCAATAATTACAGTAAAGATTATTGAACGTCCATAATCAAATGGTTGAGAATATTTAGAACATATACTACTTTATAATCGTCTTAACGTAATAAAAAATAATAAAAATATATTGAAGTATAGATCAAAATGTAATTACACTACATCTTACATTCTATAAAATTTGAAGTTATTATTTTAAAAGAAAAAAAATTGAGGCCTCGTATAATTAAAAGAGACAGGGAAAAATTTGCTCGTGTAGAGCAGTAAAAAAATTTCGTATAAGGCACCCACTATGTTATTTCTTAATCTAGGGTGTATTGATAGTTCAAAAATACTTTCCAGAAAATGTTTGATATTTATAATTGATTTTTCAAAAAATTTGATAGCTGTAATTGGTTTTACGAAAAATATTTTATAATGGTTGGCAGTTGTAATTGATTTTCCCAATGTAATTCATTTTATTAGTTCTTTTGTATTTTTTTTCTAAAATGTTTTTCCATCTGATTTTCAGTAAAACGTTTTCCTAACTTTTCACTTCAGAATATAAGCACTCAAAAAATATTATTTAATTTATTTAATATTAATTTAATATTTTAACATCATTTTAATAAAAATATTAATTATTAAAATATTTAATTTTATTATATTATAATTTTAATAATATTATATTTTTAATATTATATTAATATGTACTCAGATATATTATAATAATATACGATATTATAATTTTCATTTGTAATATGTATTACATTATTAATTTAATTGATATTATCTAATATTTTTACAAATATAATATTATTAAATTATTAATGACGAGTAATATTAATTTATGTATTTAATATTAATATAATAATTTAGTATTATATTGATAAAATACTAAAATTAAAATTAAGGGTGTTCAACGATTAATTCGGTCACCTATCGAATTGAATTACCATTAATCGAATTGATTTTAGTATTAATTGAACCAAATTTTATTCATTTAATGTAAATCATTTTCTATAAAATTAATTATAGTATATCAAACTTATAGTGAAAATGGTTTACACAATATCATCAAATCACCGTAAAATGGTTTTAGAAAATTGTTTTTCAGAAAATGTAATTCATTTTACATAAAACAATTTTAAGCAATTCAATTTACGCAAAAACAATTTTCATGTAATTCATTTTGCGTACAACAATTTTTAGGTAATCTATTTTACGTAATTATTTTCTAGAAAACTAATTACAGTCTATCAAAAAAATCTTTAGAATAATTGTTACTGTATTGAGGAGAGAACATCGAAAACGCTACTCGACTTTAACTTTTTTAGATAATAGCATAGACTACAATACATCTTCCCCATCACAAACTATTTTTTCTTTGTTATCCATGTCTATGGATGTTGTTTGGAAAAATTGGAAACGTGTGGTAATCTATATTTCATTGAAAAATTGAAGTCGCATGATATTTATGGTATCCTCCTCTTAACATAGTAACAATAATTTTATATAGAAAATAATATAATGGGACCTTATACGAAAAAATCTTTTTCCACCGACAAATCTACCAAAGAGACAAGGAGGAGGACCAATTGATACATACTTGCAATTTCATGAATCCTGATGAAGACCGCCCGGCCGACGTGCTGATTAATTTATAGGTTCCAACTACACTGCCCCGTTACATCAAAACGGGACGTAGGATCCAGCGAAGGGGCCAGTTTTGTTTTATGATTTGATATGGACTTAATTTGAGGTTGTGGACGTGACATCATCTCGCCGAAATGTCACTTTCTCGGCTGAAACCCAAATGGAATTTTGGGTCTTCCGAGTTAAATCCAGACCACAGATTCAAGTAAAATCCGAATTGGTTACATGCTACATGTGAAACCAAATGCGCATGTGGATTTTATATCATACCTGCTCTTATTAGAACTGAGATAAATATAAGTTTAATGAGTACTGGACGGATGTAAATATAATAAATCATACACGTAGTGGGTAGTGGGTAGTGGGTGGATAGTAGGTTTGAGACCTTACCCATTATATATGTATGCTCTGAATCCGTTCGTCCCGTATTCGCTCGCCCACTAATTATTTACTATATAAATTTTTTATCATTATGAACTTAAGTATAATTTTAAAGGTTATTCTATAAATCTTAAGATTTTATAAAATATTACTTGTAATTCAACTAAATATTAATGTACGAGATGGATTGTGGGTAACTAATTGGGTGGTGGATGTAAGTGTTAATTTGAGAATCTACTTGAGCAAGCGGATGTGGATTTAAAAAATTTTATCCATTGTAAAAGGTGGATACAAAAATATTAAATGAATATTAAATTGAAAGAAAAGATATCTACTCTCGTCCCATTAGTTTATCGTCCCATTACATAATAATTTATATATTAAGGGTCACATTTGTCCTTATAGTAGACCATGTTTATTATTTTTATCTCTATCGTTTTTTCGCATCAATTTAGCATTCAAAGTTTCTCAATTGTATCATTTTATACCATACCCTTAATTTAAAACCTTAAATTATAAACCTAAATTAGGATTTATGATTTATGGTTTAGAGGTTATTGTATTATGGTTTAGGGTTTAGGATTTATAATTTAGGGTTTGAAATTACGGGTATGGTATAAAATGATGCAATTGAGCAACTTCGAGAGCTAAATTAATGCGAAAATATGATAGAGACAAAAATGATAAATTAGATTTACTACTGAGGCAAAAGTTACCGTTTTGCCTTTATATAATTCCATCATGGGAATAAAACTCAATTATCAAGTGGTCGGTCGTGGGATCGAGTCCCACGGAGGGATTTTCATAATTCGGAGGTCTCCTACGGAAGCTGCTCTCAACCTGACATTGGGGGCAGCCTACTATCCTACCTCTCCCTTAACCCATTACATATGAGAATAAGGGTGAGCTAATTTATCAAGTGGTCGGTCGTCTACACCCTGGTACTGTGTGCAGAATACTTGAAAATTTCTCATTTTCATGGACACGGTTAATATAGGGGTAAAATGTAATTAATAATAAAATTAAAAATAAAATAAAATAAAATCCCGAAATTTTAAAAAATATTTATTTGAATATTTTTAATAATAAAAAGTCGAGCAACAATAACCCTGTACGAAACATAACTTTGTCCCTAACATTCATTAGTTTAAATTTAGATAACGCGAATAATACAAAGATTCAAATTTTAAAATAAATTTAAAATTTATCAAAATTATATTTAACTCAAGCTATTATATTATTTTTAAACTTTAAAATAGTTTATAATCATCAAAATATAAATATTTATTTTAAAAATATAAAGTGATTATAACGTAAATATCTTAATTTTTTTTATTAATTATTGATAATACATATTCTGTTAGTGATTGAATGATGTTAAATCTGTGGTAATTAATTCTTGTGGGACTCGATACTATTACGCATGTGCACGTGTTAATTTGGACCACCATTGATGCAGTATAGGATAGGCCGATAGATGTTATGTGGGTGATAAATTTGAAATTCTTTTATAATTTTAGTATTTCTATATTTTAAATTATTAATATAGTTATATTTTTTGGAAAAAATATAATTTTAATTTTTTTTAATATAAACATTTTAATAAATTATATTCTTAACATAAAATCTTATATTTTTTCCTTATTTGTCATTATATTTATGGTTCTACTTTGCATTTTAACATTGTCTTTAAGTTAACACCAAAGTGTTTCTTACTCTTCCATAATTGCATGGAGTAAATGTATTTGTGGGGACACCTAGTTTGATGTAAGAGTTTTACGTGATTTGCATTTGTAGATAGTTTTCTCATGTTGATTATTTTTAACTTGTGATTTATTGGTAGTCTTTCAGTAGTTTGATATACTTTTGTGGTTCGTTTACGGCCACAGTCAAATATATTTGTATTCATCTTTCATTCGAGTGTTTTTGTTAGGTTTTGACCTTTTTTTTGTACGGCCTTTATGTAATTTTTAATGAAAAAATATTCTAATTAAATGTTTAGTTTACGATTATTATTGTAATCTTTCATTGAATTCTCGACAAGGATGGCTAAATTGTTTTGGGTCATATATATATATATATATAACCTATACAATTTGTATAGAATTGTCTCCTAAAGTATTTTTTGATACGTTTTGTCCTATAAATTTATATTGTTAACTCATTTATTCCAAACCATTAACTCCATTAAAAAATATGGGAATAAATTACATATTTAGTCACTCAACTATTCATTCGATTCTATTTTGGTCTTCAAACTATTTTTCTTTTCAAAATATCACTAAATTTAAGTTTTTGTTCTGTTTTGATCGCTAAATTCAATACGATTCATTTCTAAATTTATAATATATATATATATATAAGAATTAATTTATATCACATTTTTTTACTTAATTCACTGCTATTACATTGATATAGCATTTCATATCAAATTTGTTACTTCCTTTTTCATAACTAAAATCTTTAGATTCTAAAAGAAAGGGGTTTGGACTTGGTGTAAAAGCCAGCCGAGTGCGCTTGAAAAGAACAACCCTTTAGTGTTCTGAAGAACAATAATTAAGGCAACTAAATGGAATAAAGAAGCAGGCGACAGAATCACAAAGAACACACACTAGCTTTGCCTAAATACAACGAGGACAACGACAAAAGAGATAGCCATAATTAATCAATGAAAGAGTAGTTAATGACTCACGATACACAAAGCAGCTGTGGAAGCTTCTCTTTTCACTGCAAACAAATGAGAGGAAAGAGGTGCAGATTCGTAGCTAATGGGCTCAACGGTATTGATTCAGTGGGCAGGCAGTATTGCCGCCGGCAAGTAGACTGCAGCAATTAGCTGGTGGCTTAGAGCAGCCGACGAAGGTGGTGCGCCCATATTTTCCACAAGGTCTCGTTTTTCAGCTACCTGGTCCTTGTTGGTTCGTCTGTATATAGTAGCTAGGCTTTTACTTTAGTTCTTTTCTCGTATAGGCTGGGCACATGACAGTTGTTGCAATTATCATTAAAATGGGACTCCACTAGACAACTTAATAAACCCTAGCTTTTAATGGTCTAAACATGATCATGTTGTTTTTATAATTAACAACGGAAGCTTAATTAAGAAAAGGAAAGAAAAAAAAACCCACATCATGGCAATGAATTGTGGACAAGTTAAGGGGACAAAGAGCCAGCAAAGGTGTTATGGAACAAGATAACCGGCAACTGGATTCATAGGTGTGAGAGTATGGAGAAGAATATAGGGGGAGGTTGTAGGGTGGGGATACCCTAAAACTGTGGTCCTTACCCTACGTCTCTGTTTAGATCCAACCCTATAATATTTACATGCATAAATTGTAATTTTTACCTGCAGATAACAGTAATGAAGAAGTGTAGCGTTTTTGTAAAAGAGAAAGAAAGGTTTGTTTAAGCTTACAAATGGCGAAGCTAGTAAAAAGAGAGGTCTCCAATAGGGTTAGGGTTCTTTTAAGCTTGAAAAGAGGGTTCCTTCGGCTTTGATGTTGTGATATTACTTTCCTCGAAAAATTTCGTGGAAAACGTGACCTACGGTCTGTTTGCTTATAAAACTATAATTAGAAAAATTATTACGATTTTTTATTTCATTTTTTAAGATTAATCTTCCACTCTTTTCTAGGTATAAATAAAGAGAAAATAATTATTTAAAAGTTATTTTAAAATTCATAGATATGATCCATCAAGATCATAAGAAACATAAGGTGCCGAGACCATAAAATAATTTCTCAATTACGTGGGACTGAGATGAAGCTATTTTGTTTCATTTTATTCTTTGTTTAATGGCCGATCGGTAGTGTATTACACCTTTCAAAGGGAACTATAAATATTAATATTTTTGAAGACGGATATAAGATTTTATGTTAAAAATAATTTTTTTAAATTATAAAAATAGATGACCTTATAAAATATAGTAGACGGAAACATTCTATTAATTAAAGATATATACAAAATATTTAAAATATATGCAAATTAAAATTTTAGAAGACTACCGTATCCAACCCAGTCCTTCCCTGAGTGTTACTGTTTTTTGAACAATTTTTGCAGGAGAGATGGAAGAAAAAATTTGCTCTATTAAATTCACATCTTAATAAAAAATAGAGACCTCAATCAATAATGATGTGTTTGGTTAGGAGAATGTGAGATTCTCATAGGAATAGAATCCACATTCTCCCGTTTAGTTGGCCGGGAATGTCATTCTCGATAATCTTACATTATCAATAGTAGATTTTTTTGGTATATTACCGAGAATGCCATTACTTCCCTTCCCTTAGATATTGTTGGATTACCGGCATTTTGAACTAAAATGCCCTTAAATTTTTTTTCTTTCAAAAATATTTTTATTTTGTCATTGAATAATAAAAATTCTACGAAGGTTAAATTATAAATTTATCCTTAAATTATTTTAGATTTACAAAAAAAAAATCTATAATTAAAATTTTATATAAAGTTCATGGGTTAAAATAAAATTTTACACTTTCATTAAATATTTTTATATTTTTAATTTTGTAAAAAAATTTATATATATTTTATGAATTTAATTTTTTTAAAGAAAATATATAAATATTTTTCAACTTATTAAAAAAAATATAATAAGAATAATTTGGTCAAATATATATTTCAATAATCTTTAATTCTTTTAACCAAACACGATAATTTTACGTTCTAATAAGCTTTTGATTGCCTCTATTTTTTTTAGGTTAAGAATTCAATACTTTAAGGGAATAGTTGAAAGGACTTGTTAGATCGAACGTCTCATTAAATTCTAAAGGCACGCGGAAAGAATATTTTGTCGTGTAACTAACTACCCACAATTTTTGACATTGATTAAAGAGCCCATTTATTGTATTTATTTTTTTCTTTATCGTAAAAGAATATTTAAACGGGGATAGTTTCGGTGTGACAGATTAAAAAACGGTTAAAATAAGATGTTATCGGTTTTGTTATTGTGTTAAATAATAAAATCGATAAAAATTATTGGAAATATTATTAGGCGCTACCGGTTTTGTTATTATTAAGTGTTTTTTACCGGATTTTCAAAAAAAAAAAACCGAAAACATTATTAGGCTTAAAAAATGACCGAATTAACATAATATTTTAGGTAATTTTTATCGATTTTATTATTTAAACGATAACAAAACCGATAACACCTTAATTTAGTCGTTTTTAAACCTGTCGCACTGTAGAACTTCTCATATTCAAATATCTTGTGATGGTCGAATATACAACTTTTCAGAATAATAGATTTATTCAATTAGTGAGGTAATTTAATTTGTGCATATATTTGTTTTTATATTAATTAACCTTTTAGTACTTATATCAACGGTCCATTATTTTGATGTAGGGGTACTTAAACTCATCCTCTCCCCATGATTAATTGAGATCTTAATTACGGTCTTGGACAAAATTTACTACTTAACATTACACAAAGAATTAATTAGCAACACGAGTTGCAAAAATGCTCCAAATCCTTTATTTTAATTTCCAATTAACTCCTTGACTCTCCTTATCATCTTAATAGGAGACAGCTCAAGAAAAAAACAATGGTTAAATAATATTAGTAATGTTTTAAGTATAATAGTTGACAATTTTATGTTTTTAACATGTGTCTATAGGTATGGTATGATATGGTATGGTATGCTAAGCTAAGGTAAGCTAAGGTGAATTTAGCTTTCTTAAAAAAGAATTTACATTAATATTATTAATGTATTTAAAATATTCAAATTATTCAATTATGTGTTTAGTAATAGGACGAATCAAGCTACCTCAATAGTTAAAGGGATAATTATTATTCTAAGAGGTCATGGGTTCAATCATTAACGGTTATCTGATATTCGAGCGTTCATTGTCAAATGGTTGATTGCAAGAAGTATATGTTTTTTAATATCTTGGCCTGATAATAGAGGAATCTCCATTATATTTATGTTTGATAATGTCCACTAGTTTTTATCCTCCTTTTGCAGGACCAGCAGCAGCAGCACACAATCAATGGCGTCCAAAGTCAAAACTCAGGACCTAACCATAACATGCTTAGAACTCAACTCACCATCCTTTTCTTTCTTCCTCGACTAGCTCGATCGGCCTATAAAATGAAAGTAAAAATCTTATTGTAAGCAAACATCAGTAGCAGTAAATTTAGTTTGTGGGCAAAACATGGACTAGTTAAAGGCCAACTGGGTGTTTGGGGTCTCAACGGAGATGATTATTTGTTAGAGATAAACCATGAAAACGACAAGCTCACATGAGTCGAACCATATCATTCATGGGTCCCCTACGTTGGAGCATTAACCTTATTGCTCTCTCTTCCTTTAGGAACCTAAAAAGCAAAGAATTATAGGCTTCACCTTTCTTCAACTGGCACTGAGAGAACCTTAGAGGGAGGCAATCTATCTCTTTTTCTTCTTCTTGTTTATTGCTTGCTTTGTAAACCAAAATGATAGGTCAAAGAAACCCAGAAAAAAACTTTCCCTGTTGATTCCTCCACGGCCTTTATTTATCTTGTTTAGGGTTTCCAGTTCCACTTTCCAGTGTTTTTTTTCCTTTTGGGGTCAAAGAAGCAGGCACCGACCCTCAAAGATCAAGAAAACTTCTAAGAAAGCAGTATTTTGCAGGTCAGTTTCTTGTTTTAGCTTAAAATTATAGCAGCAAACTACACCCACCCTTTAATTTTTCCCCATTTAGCCAGAAATTTTATGGTTAGATTTTCCATGTGAATTATATTATTTAGTGTGATGAACAAGGAAATCATAATGAACTTTATGCAAGAGGAAAAAGGGTATCGTAATAATGCAGATCAAGAGGATGACGATGGGGAGGAAGTACTGGTGAGAGAAATTTCATGCAACTTCCCGTTTTCCCCTTCTTCTTCTTCTTCAGTTTCTTCCAAGTACAAGGAGTCTGTTCACTTGTCGCTTGGAACCTTGGATTCTCGAGAAGATTACAAAACCCAAGAGTTTGGTTTCAGTTCCGACAAGAAACAAGAGCTGATGGATTTGTCACTCGGAAACAACAACAAAAACAACGAAGAATCAAACATCATCGGAAGCTGTAGAGGTTGTGATGGTGATGATGGCAGTAGGTTTATTGAGAAAGAACACATGTTTGATAAAGTTGTCACACCGAGTGATGTAGGCAAGCTCAATCGCCTCGTTATACCGAAGCAACATGCCGAGAAGTACTTCCCTCTCGACTCGTCCTCGATCGAGAAAGGACTGTTGTTGAATTTCGAAGATCGGAACGGCAAGTTGTGGCGGTTCCGGTACTCGTATTGGAATAGTAGCCAGAGTTATGTGATGACCAAAGGTTGGAGCCGTTTTGTAAAGGAGAAAAAGCTTGTTGCGGGTGATACAGTGTCGTTTCAACGAGGTGCCGGGGAGTCGGTGAAAGACCGGTTATATATCGATTGGAGGTCCCGGCCTAATGTGCTCGATCCGGCACAGTTCGCACATATTCAGCTACAAAATCAGATCAACTTCCCTCAGCCGGTCCGGTGGGGTAGATTCTATTCGCTGCCTCAACCGATTTGCATGTCGCGGAACTACGCACCTTTGCACCGGTTGAATTACAGCATTTATCCTTACATTCATCACCATCAACACCACCAACAGCAGAATACTTACTGCAATGTGTCGGACTATTATCTGACGTCATCATCATCACATCAAGTTGGGGCATTGCAAGGGGGAGGAAGAGGGGAGCCAATGCCAATGGTGATTGATTCAGTCCCACTAGTTCAAGGAAACAAAACCGCGGCTAAAAGGCTAAGGTTGTTTGGTGTGAACATGGACTGTCCTAATCCGACACAAGATGAATCTTCATCCTCTTCTGTCCAACCAAGACTGCCCAATAACAATGTCTCACTGTCCGCTATGCAAGCTGAATATTCAAGGAAAGGGAAATCTTCCATGTCCATTGATTTGGAGCTCTGATCAATGAAGCGAAAATTCTCAGCTGTGGACAAAATCCTGACAGGCACTGGATTTAGGGAAGAGGGTCTAAAGATAAGGCTTTTATCAATCTGAGCTTTCTTTTACTTTTCATTTATTTATTGTTTCAGTACCATAGTTAGTTAAGGTTTGGGATCTGTGTAAAAGCTAAACATGAAAGAAGCTGCAACATATGAACTTGAAAATTGTGTATATTATATATATACCGAAAATTGCAACCAGCCAAAATGGCTTTTCCCCTGTCTGTTTATATATGCATATATATATATATACACATACATACATACATACATATTTATTCTCTCTCATTCTCCTTCCTTTTCTCTTTCCTGACTGACAGCATTTACTTGTGCTGTTATGCATGGGTAGCTGATGAATCTATTGTCTAGAAAAGGACATTTCTTTGCTTCTTTTCTCTCTCTTTTTCTTACGCTTTATCATGTTCGGTTTATATATATATATATATATATATATGGTTTGCTGCAAAACAACTAAACGCAGGCTTGCAGGAAAATTTGCAGCACTGTAAAAGAAAAGGTATTACCAGTATTCTTAAATTTGTAAATTTTTCATACATATATCATATGATCAATTTCTTGGTAATTCGTGTCTTCTATTTACAGCCGTGATTCCGGAACTGCTACCACGAAAGTTTCTGGTGCTAAAAAGGGTTCAGCTTCCTCCAATCGAGAGGCCTATCGAGACCGAATCCTTGTAAGAATTCACCTTGCTTTGTCGAAATAGTTTTAAACTCGCAAACGTGCATGAAATATCACATTAATGTCTCTTACAAGTATCGTTTAAGTTACATTTGATTCATTGATCATGCATAAAATTATACGAATACATCAATCCATTTGAATTGTGTATGCAATGGCAGGTAGCTCAAATTGCTGTAGGAATTAATTAAGAAAGTACTTTGAACATCAAAATTAGCTTATCAGAAGACATGAAATAGGTTGGAGCTAATAACTTTTTATTCCCATCCAGCTGATAATAAATACATCAGTATGGTCATATCGACTATTTATAAGCATTCAAATCAAGTGCACTAGATATCTGATGTTGATGGTATCCATATTGAATTAGTAATTGTTAAGTTGGTGAAAAATATTCATTTTACTCGGTCAATCCCTTCTCATTTCAAGCTACCAACTGATGAAGCTTTTAAATTGACTAAACATGGTGGTATTACATCATACATACATACATACATATATGAAAGATGCAATGGCTTCATCTCATGCTTGGAGCTGGTTGCTTGCCCATGATTCTACATGTGATAGATGTCTGTTTAGACGAAGGTTAATGACCAGTGATAGCAAACAAATGTCTAATAAATATTAATTACTTTAGGGTTTGTTTGTAGCGCAAGAAAACAGCTTTCATTTTCAACTTCTTTTTTCTTTGGGGGCGGATTCTTATACGTAGATACATATGTATGTATGCATGTATATTTGCGTCTTCCCTATCATTGCATCAGTCTCAGACGATTATACAATATACATGTATGCATGTCATGAGACATAGTATCACTGCATTAACCAAGAGAACACCAGTTGGCAATCTCACACCAACACTGTGCTTATTAGTACTAAAAAACGAAAAATCTACGCGCACGTATATATATATATATATATATATATATATATATATATATATATATATATAATTCTTTTAGTTTTATATCTTTTTAGGATCATAGGATGAGATAAATTAATGGTTGAAGTTAACAATAGAAAATAATAAGATATTCACCGGGGGAAAACAATGAGTTAATCTTAACCTTTGATTTCCCTCAATCCAATGATCCTAAAAAGTAAGAGTTTTATACAGTGTAAGTGGATCCTAACCCTATATATATAGGGATAAGATCATGTTACACAATGTAAAAATCTTTTAGTTTTACACAGATTTAAGATCGTTCGATGAGTGAAAATAGATGGCTGAGATTAACAATAAGAAATGAAAAGATATTTACAGAAAGAAAAACAATAAGTTAATCTCAACCATCTATTTTCACTCATCCAATAATTCTATATCTGTATAAAATTACAGAGTTTTATATTGTGTAAGTACATATAACCCACTATATATATATATATATTGATGCTTTTATTGATGTTAGTAACACGGGAAAAGTTAGGGTCTAGTTCATATAGTCTATAGCTAGGGGGTGTATATAAAAAATGAGGATTAAAGCCATAGATGTTGGAAAGGTTTAGTTAATTCTACACAAAAGGATTAAAGGTGTAATATTAGATGGGTAAAATTATTGTTAAAAAGATTCAATGACAAGATTTCTAAGTACTACATATTGAAAGAGAAAAAAAAATAAAGTAAAAAATATCATAGCTCCAATACTTTGGAAAAAAAAAATCAATGTAACTCATATTACTTTTTTTCTTTTAATGTATCAATTCAACTCAGAAAACAAATCTAATGTAACTCTTTGATAAACGTTTTTCTTCATTGATCGTTACAATACTGGAGTGTCAGTTCACAGTGCTGACATGATAATCCATTTGTCATGTTTGTGCTATCAATTTAGTCAATTTGTCATGTTAATCTGTCACCCTAGACTACTATGTCGGCAACGATGACTATCACGTCAGTATGGTGAACTATTATATCAACACCATACCGGTTAATGATGAAAAAACGTTGGTAAAAAAGTCACATTTGATTTATTTTCTGAGTTGAAGGTACACCTTAATAAATAAAAAATACGAGGTACCTCTTATGCCTTCTTGAAAGGAAAAAAAAAGCATTGAAGATTGAAATCCTCCACACCCTATAAAGAGAGTAATAGATATGTGAGGTTTAATAGGCAATTAGGCTTAATCGACGGTGATAAAGCAACCACATGTGCAAGCTACAAAGTTTATGAAATTAAAAACAAAACAACACAAAAGTGGTTCATTCGAGGGTGTTGCAGGGACCATGTTGTTGTCTATTTGTAGCTAATTTCATCTCTAAGTTTAATCATAATAATAATAAAAATAATAATAATAATAAATAATATAATTAGTTATTAGAGGAAATAATAAAAAAATAGTCAAATAGATGGCTCAGAATTATTTAGAGAAGTAGGTTAAAAACTGTAAATGCATGCAACTCATTTTTACCTCACCTTTTTATTGTCTTATGGTAATTAGCATTGGGGGATAAACCGAAAGCAATTAACAATCCATAAATATAAGATATCGGAATATCATATATTAAGACAAAGTTCATTAAATTCTCAAGTGTGTTTCATTGAATTTGTCTGTTGACTCGTTTGTGCCATTGAATTTTGATTTATATTTCAATTATGTCACTCTGTCATTAAATTGCTAATAACACGGTGACATGGCTAACAGTTATTGATGTTACCGTCACACCAAAACAACGTTGTTTTTATAAGATTGAAGCGATTTAACGGCGGAGTGACATAATTGGTAAAATTAGAAGTTTGGTTGTATAAAAGAATAAGCTGGCAAAGTTGAGTGGTATGTGTTGTAAATTTACCCTAATTCATGTCTTAAGTAATGAATATCGGTGTGGGAATATCAACGGAGTTCGTTTCGTAAATGTTCATTCCGATACAACACTGGAAAGCCTAGCTTGTCGAACAAGAAACGTGGACATTGGTTAAACTTGTGCTCTTCAATTACTGCGTTCTTCTATTTGAGTCTGTTTCAACTGTTGAGTTTGTTCGGCCTCACGGTTTCTGCCCCACAGCAGGATATATAATCCGATTACAACTAAAATTGATCCGATAACGCTGTTCGTAGCCGATAAACGGATGTTAGAAGCCGTATAAAACCTTTGATGAGCAACAATTAATATTAGGAAAGGAGGATTAAAGTGAGAAACAAACCTTCCAAAGTAGATTTGTCCATGTAGAATGGAGAAATCAAATATGGCTACAAATATTTGCACCAGTAGCGTGAAGGTTGACGTGAAGACCGGACCTTTTTGTTTCACAGACCAGGACAATCCCACATAGCACAACCCTGATCCCACCATTCCCTTCATTTTTTGGATCAAGAAATCGGACTGTGATTATGAGTTTGATTTTGCGGTAAAGTTCGAAACTTTGAAGATACGGTAATTACTTACGCTGTAAGCCACCGATAAGAGTTCGAGTCTTCCCTTCAAGATCCATCTGGTAAAGTCCCTCTCTGTTATCAAACTTATGATGGCTGATTGAATTGCACTGAAGAATGACAAAATTGCAGTGCTAGAATATTGGCATGGATATGTCGTTCCGATTCTGGTTTGCGGAACGAACAATGACGACAAAAAGACGGTACCGGCAGCCAGAAATACGGAACCGATGGCCCATCTCTCTTTCTTATTCTTACTCGAAACCATCGGATCAGCATAGTTTTCAGCATGAACCGCACCCCCCGAATCCAATCCCACCAATGTTTTCCCTTTGTAAAGTGTCAGCACCACAGCTCCATCGATGCAAACCAATGTACCGATAACCTTCGTAACCCCGGCCTTGTTTCTGAGATTCACCTTCTCTAGACTGCAAAATGAATGATATGATCTAAGAGATAAGACCAACCGGACCGGACCGAGTTTAAAAGCTACTCAAACACACTCGGTGTTTAAGAAATTACCCAAATGGTAGGGCCAACGTAAAGGTAATTGCAGGGACCATGTTGATGAATGCACAAGTGAAAGTTGAAGAAGTATATTCAAGTCCAAGAAGGAAAGAGTACAAACAGAGGGTTGCCCTGGATTACATTTGTTGAAGCTTCTTAGTATTATTTATAAAGTTGAGAATCATAACCAAATTCAATATCTTTAGAACTAACCCTGTAACAGCATCGAGGGAAAGCTGGCATAAAACACCAGCTGTGAGCTTGGATCTAGTTTTTCTGCAGGGAAGCCAATAAACCAGCTGACATAGTTAAGAAAAACACCAAGACCAAAACACCAGCACGTTTACCTCTCCCAAAAGTAGACAACCGGAGCCAAGGAAACGGCAGAAATAGCCTGACGGTACACATGATGACTATACGGCTCATGCCACCATCGAGAATCTTTTTGGTAAGCAAATTCGTTATGGCCAGAGCGAAGTTGATAGCTATTACAGTCTTCCATTGTTGACAGCAGTTCATCATCTCCGGTAAATAAAGCAATTAGAGAAGAAATCGCAAGCTTCGAAGCATAATTCAATATCTTTCCCGGTTTATCTATAAATAGGGGTTCTCCCCTCCAAATTTGGAATATGAATCGCACTCATATTTCAATCAATACCATGCTTTTAACCAATCGATTTTGCCACTATCATCGCCTTTTCGAACAGTAAGAGATCTATGTTATCTTGTATACTCTTCGAGTAAACGATTACTCATAGGGCATCCATGAAAGTGGTGACAGACAAGACCTGGCATCAAGTTTCTGCGTGGTAAATTTCAAAACTTTACAACCCTTTTTATGCCTTTCTCTGTTTTTGTATATTTGAGGCAATTCTGGACAACCTTGTAAGTCGCCTCAGTCATTCAAGGATTATTCTTTTTGTTCTTCAAGTAATAAGTGGTCATTCAAGGATTATTCCTTTTCTTCTTCAATTAAAAAGTGATGAAATTGTGCAGAATTCCGTGCCCATTGCTTGATTTTTTGGGCAGACGCCTTCATTATCGCCGGTGAGGGTGAATCCATCGGAAGGTAAGCGGATAGATCCTGAACTATACAAAACACACCATATGTGGCCTACAGATATTGTAAATATATGTGAAAACCAAGAGAAAGGAAAGATTCTATTGCAAATAAACAAAGAATTTACATGATTTCAGAGAGTGATCTCTTTGACTACCAGAGCCAACAACCATTTTTTTCTCTCAAATAGGCAGCAGAACACATCAAAAGCTTTAACAACAGCAAGACAGGACATAAAGTATAAACATAAAAAGAAAACATTTAGAGTTCGCAGCGAAAACAAAAAACCAGATCAAGTATGCTTATCTTTCACTGCTACAGCAGAAGATTTGAACCAAGGCACGCATGCTGAGGTTGTCTTTCGATACAACCAGTACGCTTCAGCTCCGTACTCTTGCTTCAACATCCGCTGCTCGACGAGCACCGTGACATAAGCTAAGCACATACTGTTGATCAAAGCTCCGACAAAAGTCCACCCATGTCCGAGGCTCCAAGCAAACACGACCAGCCCCCACCACCACAGTTGCTCACCGAAGTAGTTCGGATGGCGCGAGTACCACCACAAGCCCCGGTCGAGATTAGGGACCATAGGCTTTCCAAGCTCTTTTAGCTTGCGATTTCTTGTTACGAAATCATGCAGCTGTGTATCTGCAAAGTATGCTATGACAATGCCACACAAACAAACTAAAGCAGCAACAAAATCCCAGACGTTCAAAGGCTTATCCACTGAGTGCACCGCATACAGTGGAAGACATATCCCAATCAAAAATATCTGCATAGTACAATAACCATTTCATAGTAGAACAAGTATGAAATCTACTTCTTGCAAAATGCATCAAACACAACAAATCAAAAGCTTCAAGCACTTGATTGAATAGATTTTTCCAATCGATAAAGCAAAGATCTTTGAAGCATTCACCTGTTGGGAAAAGTAAACAGCAAAGAAGGACATCCACCACCAATGTTTACCATACTGTCGGCGCATATCGGTGAACCTCCAGTCTTCTCTAGCACCCCATTGCCAATTTTCTCGCCTAAAATAGTTATGGGTCAGCCTAATACTCCAAACCCATGTCAACACTATCACAAGCTTGGATCTCCACCGATCAAATTGAGCCAAAGGGTGTGTTGCGTAGTAATAAACTAGCAACACGGGTATGACCGTCCAGTACAAATCAATCATCTGAAAAAACCCATCATAAAAATGGAAGCTTTAAAAAAAACTTTGAAGGAAAAACAGTAAACTAGTAATTAAAATCCACTAACCCAATTGCTGCATTGGATATGACCGATGACCCAGAAAAGGACATTGACATTGAAGAAAAACAAAGCATTGGCTAACAGCAGAGGGTGGTGAAAGCACCATGACCAAAGAGGAGAAAGGGAAGCACCATTGTTGCTCTGCAAATGGTTAAGGAAATAAAGATAGAAGAGAATTGAAGGGAGAGGAACGAGAAAGGCTACGACAGCATTCCTCAAGTTGCTGCTAGACATGTTTTAATATCGGGTTTCTAAGAACTGGGGTGGTGGTTGGTCGTAGTGAAGCAAACAAGGTAGAGATTTATAGCAGAACTGGACAAATCAAAAAGCTAAGTCCAAATGATGAGCGAAGATTCGTGATCATGAGCTGCGCATGGGCTCCCATGGCCAATCAGCCGGCGGTTCGTAATTATGATTCTCGGCCTGCTCCTTTGTTAAAGGGCCATTTTCTGGATTGGTTTGCTTCATTATTTATTTTCTAAAATTAACTTTACGACATCCCCAATCATTTGTTTAGTAGCCTTAACCTAGAAAGCATTTAACTTTAGGGTAAATTACGTGTTTTAGTTTCAGTCCATTTTAGTACCTAAACTTTCAGTTTTTTCAAAATCATACCTAAAGTTTGGTTTTTGTTTCATTTTAGTATATCGTTAAAACTTTAGTTTTGTTTCATTTTAGTACACCCATTCAAAATTTAACATTAAGTTTTGAAAAAAATTAAAAGTTTAGGTATCAAAATGGACCAAAACTGATAGTTTAGGTACTAAACGCATTAAATATTTAACAGTGAAATATATTAAAATGAAATGAAAACTAAACATTATATATGATTTTAAAAGAAATTGAAAATTTAAGTACTAAAATTGACCAAAACTAATAGTTTAGGTGCTAAATGCATAATTTACCCTTAACTTTATGTTTTTCCGTAAATATTAAATTAAATGAAAATATTGAAAACAGGCCTTTATACAGACTATTATTTCTAATGTATTAATAAAATAGATGAGGACTTGATTTAGGGTGCTTGAAATGGCATGTAATGATGGGCGCAACCTGTAATGGTGAGTGTAATTATGTGACTCGCATGGAAATCGGAATCCACAGCCTCATGAATATGAAAAATAATGTTATTGGAACATCTTATCCTATACCCAACTCATAGCACCACATAAACTATAAATTAAGTAGAGGTGAATAACATTCGATTCGATTCAAAAAAAAAATAATTCAATTTGATTCAACACATGCCTGACATGAGAGACTGGGCTAATATCGGGGGCCAGGTCGACAACCTCCTGCCGGTGGTCAGGTCCAGAAGATGGCATGGTTGACGAAAACCAAGTTAACGAGCAAGGTCAAGGCAGTGAAGATCAATGAGCTACAATGTATCAAAAAGATCTCTGTGAACTTTTAGGCTAAATAATCCAGTTTTGAATAATGCCCTATGACACACATGTATGGCTTCTTTTCTTTTCGAGCTGCGTTTACAAAATTTATGTGCTGATCTAAGCCAAACTCCGTCGAGTTTGTGGCTGATATTTTAAGCATCTGAATCAAGCTCGAGCGAAGTTGCTGATAGTTGCAGCCGTTTTAAATCAACCCACTTCTCACCTGTCAACTAAACTAAAAGTTCCATTTGAAAAGCATGGGTGAATTTGCAAAGAATGCCAGAATGTAGATATCAGCTGGTGAATCTATGTTTTCTATCTTCAAGAACCCCATGAGTCAAGTTGTATGAATTGGGACTAGATCATTGCTTCCGGCAGATTGTCATTCCATCTCCGATAGGCACCTAATGTTCCGAAAGGCACATCATTACAAAAAAACTGAATATTTCCATAGAGAATTCGGTAAAGGGCGTAGTAATGCAACTACTTACCATACTGGTGCTTACTCGCTTGTCCGCCATTAGGGTCTGATTGAAATTCCGAATGCTGACAGTCTTTGCATCATTTACCTGTTATAAGAAAAAAATATGAGAAGATACTTCATCTGAATAAGCAGATTCTTACAAACAACTTACCAATGGATCGGCAACTTTGCCATGCCAAAGGACATTATCAATCACAATTACTCCCCCAACTCTAACCTGTAAACACACCAACTATAACCTAAATGTTCCAGGCAAAGAAATGAAAGTATTTAACAAAATATTCAAATGTTTGAGATTCTAGTTAGGTCTTACCAGCTGCAATAGCAATTCAAAATATTCTTGATTCATCCTCTTCTCAGCATCAACAAATGCAAAGTCATAGCTGCTTTAGAGATGCAATGCGTGAGTTATAGTTGGTCACCATGATTCATTCTATCAAGAAAATGCAATGCACGCAAAAGGATAGGGTATAATATTCGTCGCTGCAACTCACCTGCAAGTCTCACCGCTAGAAATCATAGATTTCAAGACATCTGCAGCTAGTCCATGTTTCACGCTTACCTAAAACCAACCAACAACTTAATTCTATATAAGATACCGTCGAAACAAGTCTGATTAACGCAAACACTTCCGGCAATTTATTGCATTAAGTACACCATTGTCAAAAATAGGACAGGAAAAATGACAACTCAAAATGCTAATACCGCTACGAACAGGAAAAAGATTTGATTACATGGAAAGTTAGTTACCTTGTGCGAAACACCGGCCAGTTCGTAATACCTTTTTGCAACCTCAAGGGATCTAGCATCTCTTTCACAGGCAACTAAACAGCCTGATTCTGGTAAAACCAATGCAACAGCCAGTGATGAGTATCCCTAAAGAAAAAAACCAATAAGAATTCACTTTACCAAACTCAAAATCTACCTTAAAAAAGGGGAATAGCTCCAACTTCCAAATACTTTAATGCTATATTTGAGAACATGAATTTGAAAATTTGGATTTGGATTTCATTTGCTATATAAATTGCAAAAATGAAAGCTGGGTTTCGATGCCATATATATTTTAAAAGTATAAAAACACGTTAATCAAATTCATAAAAACGTAGGTGTTTTATCACTCAATTTACACAATTTTGTATCCAAATCCAAACTCAGAATTTCAAGTTTGGAAAACTCAGATCGATGTCAAAAGGAATTAGAGCATAAACTTACTGTGTAAACACCAAGTTCAATACATCTTTCAGCCCCGAGAATCTGTACTAACATAGCTAGTAACTGTGCTTGATCGGGAGACACCTTTTAAAATGTAAAATAAATAAACAAATCACATAATTTTGGTTGTATAAAAAAGAGAGAAAATGAAGCTAAGGTGATTGATAATTCGGTACCTGCATTTGACTGCCGCGCATATTAGCGGTTTCTTCCCGCAACTGCCGGAGAATCTGAACACAGTAAACGTAAAAATTATGGCGAAACGAATTTCTGTAAAAAAAATAGGTGGAAATTGGTTTTTAGAATTACCGGAGGCTCGCGAACATTGGCGAGGATATAATCGTAGAGGCGAGGAGTGATGCTGATGACTTGCTTATTGCTGTATTTCTCATCGTCTGCTACGATGAAAGGAGCAGCATTTGATGAAAGCGAGCAATTCCTCGTGAGATTGTTCAACCTTATGAATCTGGATTTGGCGGCGCGTGAAGATAACGAATGGAATCGTTGTGGTCTACTTTGATAATCGATGGCGCGTTGATAAGCCGAGGCTGAGCAGCGACTAATAGCAAAGATGGAGGCCATTTGGGGAAGAGAAGAAAGGGATCGGGAAGTGTTTGTATTATTGATGCGCTTTTTGTCATGGGCTAATGGATAGGGTTTTGTTATCTCCTTAATTAAATTAAGGGTAAACAATATGTTTGGTCCCTATACTATTATGGAGTTTCCGTTTTGATCATCAATTTTATGTTTAGGTAAACTACGTATATAGTACCTAAACTATCAGTTTTGGTCTGTTTTAACACTTACACTTTCAGTGTTTTCAAAATCATACCTAACATTTAGTTTTGTTTCATTTTAGTATCCCACCATTAAAAACTTAATGTGTTCAATACCTAAATTATCAGTTTTAGTCTATTTTAGTACTTAAACTTTCAATTTTTTTCAAAATTTGACGTTAAATTTTGAACAGATATACGAAAATGAAACAAAAATAAAATATTAGGTATAGTTTAGAAAAAATTAAAAGTTTAAATACTAAAACAGATACAAATTGATAGTTTATAGATACTAAATGCATAATTTACCCTTTTATTTTTGATAAATTAATCCTGGACTCCTAAGGAAGGTTATAATAATTTTGAAGCCTCGCGTCCTCCGTTTTAGTCCGTTTCCATGCTCAAAGTTCCTTTACACATTAATAGTTGGGATAAATTACGCAATTAGTATTTAAACTATTAGTTTTTTTGCGTTTTAATACCTAAAATTTTATTTTCTTTAAAACCATACTTAAAATTTTATTTTTATTTCACTTTAGTACTCCTTTTTGAAATCCAACGCTAAATTTTAAAAAAAATTAATTCTTTTATAATTATTTAATACGATTCCCTATAGAAAGGGACAAGAAGAAAGAACAAAAGAATAAAAATGGAGGGTCACTATCATCATCAATGCATGATTTTAATTCTCTATAGTTATTTTATATATCTTTAATATGATTCTACACAATAAATATTCTTAATCATTTAATAATAGATTTTATCAATGGATACTCAGTCACCCCTTATACAGTCATTGGTGTTTAAATCCGAGATATTTAAGAATAACAATCATTCTATACAGTAGTATATATTCTAAATAATTAAATTGATAGACTCGAACTAAATGATTGAATCCAATATATATACAATATCTCCTATAATTAAATTGATTTTTATTTAAACAAATGATTGAATCCTAACTCTTTTGATAGACTCGAACTAAGTTAAATTTAAATTTAATGTGAGAAATTTTTGACTTGACTTAACTCGAGATAGTAATATAATTTTTGTTTATATTTAAAAAATAATTGTTATGTTTTCATATTATGTCCATATTTCATCGAACAAAAATATTTTTTTTTTTATATTTTTATGTTGAGTTGGATCAAATATAATTGTTTACTCAAAATTCAGATCTGATAAGACTTACCTATATACTTGAGTAAAGTTCAAGTGACCCACCGCAAAAATCATGAAAACCGATTTCAGACGGCAACGCTACCACAATATCACGGCCGCTATCACGTTTTTGATCCACAATTTGATACCCTGTTCGGTAGTTTACTCGTGCATTCAGCTCTCAGCGAAAGATATGAAAATCGGATCCATATAATCATTGGTCTTTGATGTGTTCTTGATTTTTTCACTGTGAAGTAGACAATCATCTTCCCTTCAAGCCATGACTTGTTATGGATATATTACTAAACAATAACAAAATACCATTTTCAACATTATTCTAAATGAATAACGTGAAACCATGTGTCATGTCATGTGTGAGCAATTGAATTGTTTTGAATGTGGAATCACCCATGTACAATATAGGTGTAAACCATTAAAACAATTTATGTATGTATATATATAGGATAAGATCCACTTACATTGTGTAAAACCTTTTTAAGTTATACACTCTTTTAGGATCATTGGATAAGAGAAAATCAAAGGCTGAGATTAACTCCTTATTTTTTTCCTATTGAATACCTTTTCGTTTCATATTGTTAATATCAGTCTTTAATTTCTCTCCTCCAATGATCCTAAAAAATATAAAACTAACAAGTTTTACGCGCAATAGGATACTAACTCATATATATATATATTGGTAGGAACAATTTGTGCTATACGGTTCCACTGAATAAACAATCTGAGGTTAACATGGCTTCTCCTTTCTTCTTCTGTTTTTAAATACATTATTAGTCACTGTTTATGAATATGATTTCTGCTTGTAAGTAAAACATAATTTGTCCCCCCCCCCCTCTTATAGGAGTTGACATTGATTTTCTAACGTCAGTTGCAAAATCTCCTTTCAATTTGTTAATTTTTGTTTAATTTTAGTACTCACCCGTTAAAATCTTAATGCGTTTAGTACCTAGACTGTCGATTTTGATCCGTCTTAGTACCTAGACATTTAATTTTTTTCAAAATTTAACCTTAAATTTTGAAAATGATACTAAAATGAAACAAAAATTAAACTTCAGGTATCAAAATTAAAATTTTAGGTACTAAAAAAATTAAAACTAATAATTTTGATACTAAACATGTAATTTACGCTTTTTTATTCTAGAATCACTGCTAATGAAACTTCAATTTTAGTAATTTCTAATTCATTTATGTCGAGATGTTTAATTGACTTTATTAACTTTGTAATTCAAAGAAACGAAATGGTAGGTATGACTTATTGGTAATCGTGACAAACTTTTGGGAATTATGAGAATGGAAGGGCTAGTTTTGTAATAATTTCATATTACATTGTAAGCTACTTGATATGTTTAAAATAATCAGAAAAACCCATCATCTTTGGTTTGAGTGAAAGCATAACCATAGCAGACCACAAAATCAACTAATAATAGCATTATGTTGAACACTTCAAAACATAAACCAGATGGATTCAAATGATAACATGGCCATTGCCTTACAACAGAATCAACTTTTTTTTTTTTTTTTGCAATTAGGTTACATCACCCAATCCCAAAGAAACAGAACATTTTTCACTACGAAACGGTATTATTACATCAAACTGAAAGATGAATTTTGGGTCACCATAAGATTTGATGATTCTTCTCCTCTGTTTTAACTCTTCTTAGGGGCAAGCCTGCTCTTGATCTTGTCGACTTCCTTTGTACTAATTTGGAACGCCTTGGTCAACACATTATCAGGCACTGCCGGAGTTGAAGCGAACAAGGTAGCAGCAAGGGCCTGAGTTCCAGGCAACTGACTATTGAACCCGGCAATGACCGATGCCGGCTGGTGACCGTTGTTCTTCTGGAAATGGACCAGACCCTTGGGGAACACGAAAACGTCACCCTTTTTAATAGATTTGGTGTACAACTTGTTGGCTGTAGTGATGAACCCTACATCCAATTCACCTTCGAGAACAAAGATGATCTCAGTGGCACGCGGGTGAGTGTGGGGCGGGTTAAGTCCACCTGGGAGATAGTCAATGCGAGTGAGCGACACTCCAAGGGTGTTCAGCCCCGGGATTTGCATGACATTGGCTCCGGTCACCACCGATCCCACGGTGTTGTTGATGACCGCAGGTTTAGCTAGACCGCTGAAGAAAAAATCGGCTTCGGTTACGGCTGCGTCGTTCTTGCATGCAAATCCATTCACCTTGACTCCTACAAGTGAACATATATACAATATTAGGGAATTGTTTGTTTAAGATCAGAGTTGTTGACTTTGTTTTATCTTACCTGCAGATACGTTGGCTACGCAGATATCCTGGAGGAGATCGGGATCCGATTTAGCGACGCTGGAGAGGGCGGCGACGACGACCAAATATGCCAAGAACTTGGCGGCCATGGACAATGAAGAGAAGCAAAAGGTATAATTATAGAGTTCAGAGAAAAAAAGAAAGTATTTGTTTGATTGTTGGATGAGAAAGGGAGCTGTTATGTTTACTTTATATACATGAAGAAAATGGGTAATCGTGTATGGATCGGGTGGAATAAATTATAAATTGATAATAAAGTTTTGGGTAAACTAAACAAATAGTCTCTCGCCTATATAGTATTATTTTATTAAGTCTCTCGATTATTAAAAGTTATAAAATGATCACCCAATAATAGAATGATGCTTTGTTAAGTAACTCGAATACTAAAAAGTTACAAAATGATCATCCAACTATTCAATATGTTCCAAACTCGTCCTTTTTCGTTAAAAAATTGGTGGTTGTTTAAGCTAGATTTTACCATGATGACAGAGATATGATAGTCATTTAAGATTCTAGGATCAGATTTTATCATATCACAGTCAACATGTTAACGTCCAACTTAGAATATTGTCCATTTTTAACGGAAAAGTACGAGTTTAGGACTTAATGAATAGTCAGATAATTATTTTGTAACTTTTAATAGTCGAGAGACTCAATAAAATAAAATTCTATAGCCGAAAGATCATTTTATAACTTTTAATAATCGAGAAACTTAATAAAGCAATACCCTATAATAAGTAGATCATTTCTGTACACCCTAAAGTTTTTCTAAGATGGGGATTATTAGAACTTAATGGCAAAGAAATTTGTTTAGCTGCATATATGTTTAAAAAAGGGTAAAATTCTGTCATTAGTCTTATGTTTTGTGTAAGTTGCAAATTTAATCCTTACATTCTTATTTGATTATTTTTCAATCCCTGTAATATATTACCAACTTACGGGGGTTAAAAAATTATTTAAATTGGAGAACAGAAATCAAATTTATAATCTATGTTTAATACGTGAACTAATAGCAATATTTGACTTAGTAGATTCAATGGCTATTGTTTAAAGGCTTAATGTTCAAATAAATTCCCAAACTATACCTTTTGTGACAAATAGGTGCGTATATTATTTTTTGGCTCATCCAGGTGTCTAATGTTACAAACGTTACCCTTTTAGGTGTTCGGGTCATCAACGGCGTTAGTTTTCCCCGTTAAGTGACATGTGTCACAATCTAGTAGTTTTAAAATTTTTATATAAAATTTAAAAAAATAAAATTATATATTTTAAAAAAAGAAAACACATAAAATTTGAAATAACCCCTAAAATTTGAAAACCTTCACTTCAACCCCCTAAACCCACGCCAACCGCCACCCTTTGCCACTGAAGAAGCTCCACCCGACCTCCCCTCCCTCTGGAGAACAAAATGCCTATGAAATTGTGACTGGTTGGCAACCAATCGACGACAAATCAACATTTTATACCTCACAAACCCTAGGATAAAAATCTTGATCCCACGTGATTTCGACGATGAATCGACGACAACTATGACGACATATAACTAGGATGATAGCAAGGACTACGTCGAAGGTGACAGTCGTGGACGGAGAGGGCGCCGACGGTAGGTTAATGTTAGGATTTGAGGGTTTTGAGGTTTTTTTTGTAATTTAAAAGAAGTTAGGGTTTCTTTTATTTAATATTATATATATATATACATACATTTTTTCTTCTTTTAGGAACAATTTTAATCGGTCAAAAGTAAATAATTCGGATCAAATTTTTAAATTTCAATTTAACTTTTAATTTTCGCAATTAAGACAACTGAGAAATTAAATTGGTACCGAAAGGGCAGTATAAGGGTGCTAATCATTCCTTGACTGTAATCGACTCCTGAATCTGATAAATTTCTAGTTAAACGTGGATCAGGTAAGATGGTAAGTTAAGGTGTCTGATCAACCTAATTTTATTAAAAAAAGATCGGTGGTGGCTCTAATACATTTATTTAAGTCAAAGTCCAATTAAAAGCTCACCCGAAAGACGGTTACGACAGATGTGTTCTTGATCTTTTCACTATGAAGTAGACAATTATCTTCCCTTCAAGCCATGACTTGTTATGTATATATTACTAAACAATAACTAAATACCATTTTCAACATTATTCTAAATGAAGAACGTGAAACCATGTGTCATGTCATGTGTGAGCAATTGAATTGCTTTGAATGTGGAATCACCCATGTGCAATATTGGTGTAAACCATTAAAACAATTTATGTATATATATATATAGGATAAGATCCACTTACACTGTGTAAAACCTTTTTTAGTTTTACTCTCTTTTAGGATCATTTGATGAGGGAAAATCAAAGGTTGAGATTAACTCTTTATTTTTCCCCATTGAATATCTTCTCGTTTCTTACTGTTAATCTCAGTCTTTAATTTCTCTCATCCAATGGCCCTAAAAGTATAAAACTAACAAGTTTTACACGTAATTGGATCCTAATTCGTGTATATATATATATATCGGTAGAAGCAATTTGTGCTATATGGTTCCACTGAATAAACAATCTGATGTTAACATGTCTTCTTCTTTCTTCTATTGTTTTTAAATACATAAATTTTGAAATAACCTTTAAACTTTGAAAATCTTCACTTTAACCCCCTAAACTCACGTCGACCGCCGCTCTTTGCCATCGAAGAAGTTTCACCCGACCTCCCCTCCCCCAGAGAACAAAATGCCTATGAAATCGTTACCGGTTAATAACCAATCAACGAAAAATTAATGTTTTATACCTTGCGAACCCTAGGATGAAAATTGTAATCTCACGTGATTTCGACAGTGAATCAACGACAACTACGACATATAACTAGGATGATGGCAAAGACTACGTTGAAGGTGACATTCGTGGCCGGAAAGGGCGTCGACAGTAGGTTAGGTTAGTGTTAGGATTTGGGGATATTAAAGTTTTTTTGTATTTTAAAAGAAGTTAAGTTTTTTTATAAATATAATGTTATTTTTAATTGTTTTAAAAACATAAATTTAAAAATTACCATATTATGACATGTGTCACTTAACAGAGAAAACTAACGCCATTGACGGTCCGAGCACCTAAAAGGGCAACGTTTGTAATGTTAGGCATCTGGATTGGCCAAAAAATAATGTATGCACCTATTCGGCACAAAAGGTATGATTTGGGCACTTATTTGGGCATTAAGCCTTGTTTAAATAGTGACTAAAGATGATCTTGTTGGAATAAAAGAACTAAATTCACAATTTATTAATAGTGCAGGGACCGATAGTATAATTTGACAGAAGAATTGATTTCAGCAACCAATTTTGACCCTATTTAAGTATTGATATGTAAGTAAGAAGAAACCCTTAAAATAATTATTAAGGTAATATCCATTCGGTGCAAGACAAGTATTGGACCTGGGGAAACTACATCATCAATGACCAAATGTGTTGATAATTTAAAGAGGGAATATGGGAATCAAATGGTTGTTTTAGATTCATCCTCATCAAAAGAGAATATTGTAAATATTAAATTGTGTAATAAAAATTGTAAACATTTAATTAGATAATAAAAATTGTAAGTCAATTCTAGTGGATAAATTAAGGATTAAGGGTCACCTTTATCTTCGTAGTATATCCGATTTATCATTTTTGCCTTTTATCGTGTTTTGCATCAATTTAGATCTTAAAGTTACTCAATTGCGGCGTTATATATCATACACTTGACTTAAAACCCTAAATTATAAACCTTAAGTTATAGTTTATGGTTTAAGATTTAGAGGTTATGATCGAACATCAAGAGATTTCAAACATAAGAAAAAAAAACATTTTACTGTGTTTTCCATGTGAGATTAAAACATTTTCCTTCGGTTTGTGTACATATTATCAGAGATGGAGCGACGAGGTGAGTGGGACAGTCGTCCTTATAAAAATTTAAAATTGTCATATGTTTTAAATTTTTTTATATGTTTTCTTTTAAAAATATGTTTTAGTCCCTGAAATTTTAATTCGCTTTCCTAACATAAAATTATGTATTTATCCTCGTAACATAAAATCGTGCGTTCGTAAATGTTACCAATCCTTTGGATTTTCATTTATTGTCTCAAACTTTGTTATTTATTCTCCAACATCCTCCTTTAACGTAAAACAATCATTATATTAGAGGTTTAGTTAAGGTTTAAACAAGATTAATTTTAGGTTTGTAAATAAATAAATCGAAACGGTTGGTCTACCAGCTGTCGTTGACGTTGCGGTGGCTGTTGAACCGGTCTATCATGTAGAAGCTTACATTTTATAACATCATTAACGCATAGTTCATGCAACATTTCATTATGGCTTAATTATTATAAAATAATTGTTTAAATTATACCGTTTTTCACGAATAGTATTTAAACTATTTTTTTAAATGATCTATGTGTTTAACGTTATCACTTTAGGTATTCGGACTATAAACGCCGTTAATTTCTTCTGTTAAGTGGCATGCATCGCATTCGTAATTTAAAAATATATATATATATAACTAAAATTATATTTTTAAAACATAATTTTTGAGATAACCCCAAAACTTTAAAAACTTTCATTACAACCCTTAAACTCATATCAATCGCTATATTTTACCATCGACGAAGCTCCATCCGACCTCACCTCCCACGACGATCAATAATCCTATGAAATCACGACTGGTAGACAACCAATCGATGTTTTGTACGCCGTAAATCCTAAGATGAAAATCGCGATCCCATACGGTTCCAACGGCCAACGATGACAACTACGACGACGTATGACTAGAAGGATGACGGAGAGTGCTTCGGCAACGACAATCGTGGCCGAAGAGGGCGACAATAACAAGTTAGGGATTTGTGGTTTTTTATAATTTAAGATGAATTAGGATTTTTATAAATATAACCATATTTTTAATTTTAAAACAAATAAATTACAAAATTATTAGAATATGACATGTATCACTTAACGGGAAAATTAACGGCAATTACAAGCTTATAGCTTTTAGTTTGTCACTTGATAGAGAAAATTTACAGCTCCGACACCTAAAGTGATAATATTTGTATCATTAAGATGGATCATTCAAAAAATAATCTGAGTACCCATTATGAAAAGCGATATAATTTAAACATTTATTTTATAACTAATCCTTTCATTATAGTTGTGGTTATTAACATCAATGACATGCTTTAGATAAAGTGATTACTTTCATCTTCCTGGCTTCAATGCAAAGGGAAGAAGTCAT